AGGGCTCGCCTTCTCCCACCCACACACACGCAGGATCTGGGAAACCACTGGAAAGCCATTAGTCTGGAAGTCCCCTCGTTGTATGTGAAGAAACCAAATACTGGTGTATTTCATTTAAGAGGCTTGCTCAAGGACAAGTATGCCACAGAACATGATTAGAAAGAACCACAAAAACCAAAAGCACATTGCTTTCCTGCAATCCCTTCTGAAAAGATTTGATAGATTTTAATCATTGTTTCTAGTCTCTTCTCCGGAAAACCCACTTTGTACTGTATTTCTAATTTGTTTTGTTTTGTTGGCCACAGTGCACAGCTTGCGGGATTTTAGTTCCCCAACCAGGGAGTTGAATCCCGGGCCCACGGCAGTGAGAGCACCAAGTCCTAACCACTGGACCACCAGGGGATTCCCTATTTCTGATTATTAACTCCTTTATTTTTCTGGCCACATTTTCAAGTGTGCAAAGTAAGAGAAAAGTATTGCTGTCAGGTAAAGTCTTACGTGCAGAAAGTAAGGAGCTTTAGACGGCTCTGTGTTAGCCTGAAAATAAAAACTAGAAGCTACGTTTGTCAGCTGCACTTTGGAGCCTTACACATGCTTGCTTCCACTGCTGTCTCTTAGCATCAGTAGTTCTTATACGAATATACAGACCTTAAAAATGACCCTACTGACCCTTTGTCCAAATGAATATGTGCTTGGAGTCTTTTTCCAGTAGTGGTGAGAGGTGGCATTCACTGACTGGGTCTACTCCTGGCTGATAACGTGCTTTTTGAACAGCTTGGTTCAGTTTGTGTTGGGGCGGGGATGGGGCAGTTTGTAAAGGAGCATGTTCTGCTAGGTAGAGCTGAAACCAGCCCTCAGAAATCAAACCCAGAGCCTTATTGTAACCTGTCCGCAGTTCTTCCACACTAAAAGCTGGCTTTCCTGTTGATACCAGTTTCACTCATTTGAAAAGAGTTCCAGCTTTGGGATTTTTCAGGCTTTAAACTGTGGTTCCTGCATATGGAAATGGCTGCTTGTGATCCTGCCCTGTTTTCCTAGAGGAGCCCAGAGACCTTAATAAGTGGGGTTATGTGGGGAGAAAGTGGGGGGACTGGTGATAGACGCAGGATTTGAAGAGAAGGTGGGTGGTGAGGCCAGAAAATGTGATGAAGTCCTCTCTTCCCCCAGTGCAAGCATCGTGCAGTATTAATATTTTATCTAATGTCAATTTACTGATATAGACCCGTGGACTCTGTAGACTCAGAAACATTGACTAAAGGGTAACAAAGAACAAAGACATCTTCTCACCCCCCTCCCTCCTTTTCTTTTGCCTCTGCTTGCCTGAAATGTTTAATAAGACTTTGAAAAGACAGCATGGACTTTTTAGTATGTGGAGGGGGGTACACTGATGGCAGCAGAGTTTTCCAGACGTGAGTGCTGGAAATTAAGAGACTAGATGTTGAGAGAAACTCTAATCCCTAGTATCAGACCTTCAGATCCGAGGTGCTCATCTTTAGTGCCATGTTGCAACTCTCTCCAAGAAGTGCTTCCCGAAGGGAGGCCTTGCAGACATGGCCTTTAGAGCACTTGGCTTATGTGTGAACAAAAATACATTCTTTGCTATTGAATCTACTGTTCTGCACAGTCTCTTTGCACTTGACTTTCCAGTTGTCCACTTTGTGTGGAAGAAATCCTGTGGCACAGGCCTGAGGCTTGGTTAATTTTTAGAATTTTTTTTGGTTACCTTGATTTTGATTTGCCTGATTTTCTGAAGTGCTTGATTTTACTAAGCCTGACTACAAAAGTGCTTTTACTACGTGGACTTTTGAGACCAAAAGGAGTAAAATTATATACTTCATATTAGACAAAAATTCTGTGACTTTGATCAAACAGTGGTTCCTTAAAGTATTTCCAGCTTGGTTACCAAAGTCTGAAGCACACATATCTTGATCATTTAAAGTAGACTTCTAATTTTTCTAATTAGGGAAAAGTCCCAAAAGCAAAATAATATATGTAATATTCTAGAAAATCTGGCCTAGTGGGCATTTACTATATCAGTCTTCAAGGAATTAGCCTAATCTGAAGCATTTTTTGTGTCTTAGGGTTTTTAGTGCTGCTGCAGTGATTAACAGGACCACTTGGGACTTATCAAACAAATCTAAGCTCACTCTAATTGTTAAATATTTTTGGAGGCAATTTATTTGGAAAGAATGACAAAGACATACGAAACTGTTTTCATAAATATTACTGAAAACTAAATCATATTAGAAAATGTTATACAAATTGAAATTTGAACCTTTTGAACAAATAATTTTTCATTTCCATTACCCAGAGAAAGCTGGGGATGTGGAAAATGGATGACTTGTTATTTATTTATTTATTTTTATGAATTTATTTTTGGCTGTGTTGGGTCTTTTTTGCTGCATGCAGGCTTTTCCCTAGTTTCGGCGAGCAGGGCCTACTCTTCGTTGCATTGCACGGGCTTCTCATTGTGGTGGCTTCTCGTTGCGGAGCACGGGCTCTAGGGCGTGTGGGCTTCAGTAGTTGTGGCTCGTGGGCTCTAGAGTGCAGGCTCAGTAGTTGTGGCGCACAGGCTTAGTTGCTTCGCGGCATGTAGGATCTTCCTGGACCAGGGCTCGAACCCGTGTCCCCTGCATTGGCAGGCGGATTCTTAACCACTGCACGACCAGGGAAGCCCCATGACTTGTTTTTTAAAGGGCAAGAAAATTAGGGCAGCTCTTTCTAGAATTTGAAAGGTGTTAAAATCTAGATGCAGCCTAAGAATCTCTATTAGTATGGAGAAAATGAAGACCCAGGAAGATTTGGATCAGATTAATTTCAGTGGATTATGTGTGACATAGTATATTTAACAAATCATGGTCTTTAACAACTTTGATATCAGTGACTAGCTTGGGCAAGTTATGTAACTTCTCTGACATTGAGCCCCTCATTTGTAAAATGAAGCTAAGAGTTTGGTGGTGGGGTTGCATTTACTCTGCATCAGGCACCTTCGTATTACTGTCGGTAAGTGGTAAAAGTTAATTTCCGTATTCTAAGTCCTTATTCCCCATTGCTTAATAGAATGCTTTTAAGGAATGGGCCTAGGTGAACAATTAGACAAGTACTGTTGCTGAATGCTGTGGAAAATCCTTAAACCTTTTGGGTGGTCTCATTACATATTTCGGAAAATTATTCTATATACGTGCTCTCTAAAAGCACTTAAAAGTCTCTTCGGAAATCCCTGACTCACAGAACAAAGTGAATCGCTGCAGTAGGGGAGTCTGCAAGCTAGTGAAGCAGCAGGGACGCCGTGATCGGGAACAGTTTCCCCCGTAACTCTTATCTTTCCTCTTTAAACAGGTGGTTCCATCAAGGTCCTAATCCCTACAGCGGAGCCCAGGACTGGCTTTACTCGGGCAGCTACTGGGACAGAAAGTACTTCAATTTGCCTGACATTTATTAAAACTATAGACAAGTTGGGGCATTTGGCTAATCTACAGATAAGACTTAAACCTGTGTTTTAAAATTTTCTTCTTTGATTTCTACTCATCTTTTGAAAAGAGAAAAAATCCTCTCATGATAACTTGCATTTCACCCAACGAAAGTAGGGCATAAGGTGGATACTGGTGATGAAAGTCTTTGGAAAAATGGGTAATTTTGCTCTCCAAACATGCTTATTTGGAATACTATTTTATATAGAGGTATGGGAAGCTGTTGGAGAATATGCTTTTTGATGGTTGCTGTTGCCATATTCACTGAAGGTTTATACCTAAATGTGACTTTAGCTTTATGGAATTATATAGTAACCCAAATCAAGTTATTCTGAATATTTTTAGGCTGTCATGCTTAAATGTTTTAGATTTAACTTCGAAATGTTTAGAATTCTCCTCTATGATGTTATATGCTCACATATAGAGGTTATGCCATTTTGTAAAGACTGCATTGAAAAGATGGCTTTTCTTCTTACTAATCCTCTCAATTTTACCCCTTCCCACCTCTAAAAAGAAAAAAATGCCTGAATGTTCAGAAGAGAGGTTCCTGATTTGAAAATTCTAAACTGGAAAAGGTATTTCATTTGCTTACTTTAGTGCTCTGATTTTACTTTTACAATTTTCTATAATTAATGTCATTAGAATTAAAATGTTTGAGTTGTACATGTTTGAATTGAAAATATGTATAAAACCTAGCAATTCACAATAATACCCCAGAAATATAGATTTTAGTCACCATCATTACATAATGAGAAACCTTTTTTAAATGCTTCAACTCCCAGTGGCAAATGCCACCAGAAATTCAGTTGTACTCATGTATTATAAGTATCAGACTATATAAAAGGAGGTCTTGGGCATTTCAAGTTTGCAAGGCACCTGTGTACTTAAGATACGTATGGAGACCTACTGTACAGTAGCTTTGCCCCTTTAATTGGGGTACATTAATCTTACGGTATTTATCTACCCAACCCCAGACTGAGATATTGCTCCAGGGGGCCTTAGGTAAGCTGTCAGTAAGTTATTTTAATGGCTGTCTTGAAGTTAACAAGTGTTATAATGAAATAATCTACCTGATGCTAAATAAAGGCTTTAGAATGTTCAAAACAGTGTGGTCTCTTTTAAACTTTGAAATATTCTAATGCTGCACTTAATAGGATGCCAGATTGTCAGGTGTCCTTACAAGAGAGTAAGTCCTTGTGCTGCCACCGTCCCCAGGGCCAGAGCTCACCCCCGGGCTCACGTGCTAAGTAGGCAGTTAGCACTCACTGTTCTCTGGGTAAATACAGTATTTATTAGAGCAAGGTGCCACTGTCTTCACTTGGTGTGGATGCCAAATACAGAATTAATCAAGTGGAATACCTTGGTAGAAAATTGCTAGAGTGGAAAGTTTTCTCTTTTTTTTTTTTACAATGTATACGAGTTGGAAAATGCTACTGTGTCATATCACAAGTCTGAAAATATTTAGGACCTGTTGTGTTCAGATGTTTGTACACCGCCTAAATTATAAAATACGCAAGGCGACAAGGTTTTATGCTTGCATGAAGTTTATTGATATATTACGCTTGGTGGCAGACTCCACCTTGAAGGTCAGCTCAAACAGTGTCATCTTCGGCACCTGTTAGGAATAATGTGAATAGTGACTTGTTTAATCATAAAACTGAACACGTAAAATGACTGGATGATCAGAAATGCAAGTTCTATCCTGCTCTCCTGCTAAGCTCTTAACTGTTATCTGTGCATGTGCACTAAAATATCCTAGCACCTCATGCCCAAAACGGCCATTTTGACAGTTCCACTAGAAGTCTAAAGGGTAGGAGTAGGTAAATGCTCATAGTCCTAAGATATTTTCAAAAGTCTCCTTACGTGTGGTAACTAAATGCGGTACTTGAACCTGCCTAAAACTGAAATCTAGCTTTTGTCCGTCAGACGTGCAGCTGCTGTCATTCTTCTGGCTCCCCACTGAACTTTCAGCCCCTGTCTCTTCGTTTGGGAGGCAGGGCCGTGAGTTACGTGGTCCCCTCTTCACGTCTGACTTCACCGTATGTGCTCTCCCCAGCTCCTCCCAGCCTGTCTCCTTGCGGCCAACTTGCAGTCTTAAGCCCCAGGCTCTTTCCTGCCCTTGGCCTCTGTCTGTGGGCTCCTTCTCCTATGCACACGTCAGTTTACGTCTATGCCTGAACACCCCATCTAACAAACAGAGGGCCTGGATCAGTACTACTGGTTTTCTTCCTAATACTTCACGTATCATTTACGCTGCTAAGGTGTGGCTGCATGTTTTGCTTGCTCTGCTGTATGTACACACCTGGGGGAGGAGAGGCTAGGGCTGTATGTGGTAGTAAGTACTGGTTGAATAAAAATTGTTTAATGGTTTGTGTGTGATAAAAACTGTCTTAACACCACTTGTCCCTTTAGCTCATGAATGTGTTTCCAACCTATCTTGTCTTTATGTTAATCCATCCCTTTGGCATCTTCTACGGGGCTAAACACAGCGCCAGGTTTTCAGAGGTAGCTGAGTTGGTTGCTTGGTTATGTGTTTTAGGCACTGGACCCTTGGGGTGCGTCACTGCGGCGCAGTGCGCCTGCCGTGCGCTGAGTAGTAACGTGGTAAGGGAGGTGGGGGCAATCACCACGTCGGATCCGAGCGCACCCCCCGCTCACTGCGTGTCTCAATTGGGTGTCTTAAAATATCTCAGTCTCTAGGTCAACAGATCAACCTGCTTGAAAACTCAAGTGTGTTAAGGCCCACATATCATGGGAAGAGAATTTACCTGCCAGTTTTAAGTTTCTGCTCTGCGAACATTGGCAGTAGTCACAGTTATTTCTCCAGCAATACCGTAACTTCCAAAGGAAGTACATTTTTTGGCTACATCTTCTACCGGGAAAGCAACAGAAAGAAAAACTGGACTTTGTGGTCTGGGGACATCTTGTCCACTTGTAGGAGGATTAGCATTCTGGGGATTGGGGGTGTGTTTCTGGAATTTCTGATCTGCAGGAACAGCAATGGGTACTTGCACTGCAGCGTATCTCTTCAAGGCATCTGACTGGGAAACAGCGTGTCCAGGAACAGGCTTCCAATCCTGTGCTTCCTGAACATTTGAGCCCACTAAAATAAAAGGTGGGGCACTGGTCTTCTTGCTGTCCATCATCCCGTAAGTTGGAGAAGTAACTTTTGGTGGATGCTGCAGAAACTGTGGATCCTTAGAATTAGGTAAATAGAGGGTTGCTTGGGGGAAAGGCCCAGGTGCAGGTGGTGGTGATGGGCGACTTTGTTGACTCATATCAGTTAGACAATAAAGGGTCCACATGTTAGAATATGGTGGTGGTTGTCCTGCTTCGCTTGCTGCTATTGCTATAAAAAAAAAAAATTTGCAGGTGTTAAAGATTTGGTCTCTGTATCAGGCGCTATGCACAGAAATGTCTTCATAATTTTTTTTTTTTTTTACTTATAAACAGCTGTAGTAATATGTGCCATAAAGCATGCTATAGAGAGGGCTAAATAAATTGTGTTTGGAAATGTGAAAGAAAAGAGATTCTCTACAGTCAAAAAACGAGAACAGTGTTGTGATAGCCAGTGGCACGGACACTAGGGTTGTGGCTGAGAAACAATCTCATTCTAAGTTGCTGTTTCCAGGAACTTAACTTTAGACATGGCTTCTACAGGGTCCTCAGAGGAAATGGAGAATCAACAATTCTGGCTCTACCAAAAAAATCAACTGAAGAGTGTGTTAAGCCATTGAAAAAAAGCATTTAAAAAAAGCATCAACGTGTCTGCATAGTGATTGTTCTCTTTACGGAAGAAGTCAGCACTACGTGTCATCTTTTGATCACATGATCAAGGACCTCTGGCCCTTCGCAGGCGGCATCGTCTCCCATCAGTTTGTCACTACACACAAAACATCACATAATCTAGGACTCGGAACCTGAGAGCACTCTTCCCTCTTAGGCAAGGCTTGAAATCATAGGTCCTGGGTGGCAGTAGAAGGCTGGTTGGTCGCACAGTGGAATTTTAAGTAAAAAGAGGTCTCGGAGGGCCGTCCGTCTACTTACACCAAGGCATCTACCAAGTCAAGTTCGACTTGCCTAATTGAAGACAGTGCCGTCTTGGAGAACGAGTCCCAGAAGCTGGGACGGAGGAGCAAAGGTTCCTGATGGAGGAGCTGCACTTGGCCCAACTGTGCTGAGTCACCCTCTGAACACGGCACGCATCCCTAGTGTAGCTTTGTTTTCTTCCCCAGAAAAGAAAATAACACTGTGCACACAATTAAGCTGTGTTTTCAATAGCTTCAGATGCTTTCAACTGATAGTTCTGGAAGCTAATTAAAAATATGCACAAGCCAAGTCTTCAGGTAATACCCTTAGTGCTTTGGAAATAGTGAAGCACTTGAGAACAGTAACTTGGGATGGAAGTGCTGCTTAGGCCACAAGTGTAATGCCAGCCCCACAGACTACGTTCCAACACTGCCCTCTGCCTTTTCAGCTGCGCAGAATCCCTGTCACACTGCCAGACAGAATTTGATCTCTAAACACCTGCTGTGGTAACACTTTTTTTTTTTTTTTTTTATCATTCTGGCTCTGCTAAGAGTCAAGGGTGAGAGAGTTTCTGCAAAAGGAATGGCGGGGTTGGTTCCTGCACGTCCCACCTCCCTAAACGGATAAGGGCCGCTGCACTTGCCTAGATGGATTGGGAGGGTGAGCAGACCAAATGCCATAATTAGATCGAGATGGGAGGTCAAACCGTGTCTGTGTCACAGGAAAGCGGTAGCGATAGTTCAGCAGCCAAGAAAGCAGCTTGACTTGGGCGCCTGTCGGGGAACCGATGGAAGGAAGCCGGCCAGCTTCGCCGAGTCCATCCTTTCTGCTGCTGCTGCCTCCCCGCTCCCCTGGGTGACAGAACTTCAGCTTGACCTTTCCTCTCTCCATCCAGCTACGAAGCCGCTCCCTCAGCTGCCGGAAGCTCCCAGGCGGGACGTCAGGGCTTGACCAGCCCCCAGACCAGGTTGCAGAGTTCTCCCACCTCAGCGCAAAAGCAGTCAAACGCACCACCATTTCTTTCACGTTTTTAATGCCATCGCCTGTGTAAATACTTTGTTGTCATTTGATTTTACTCTTACAGGTGAGAGATTTCAAACCAACACCCCTTAGTTATGGTTTTGCAGGAGTATCCAGATCACATGAACGTGTTTTACCAACAGGCTCTACCTTTTTTCACCACATAGTATGTCCAGAACAACATGAAAGTGCTAGGTGACCGAACTTTGAGGCCAAGCAGTGGTGATGTTGCTTTAAAATCACTCATCTCGTAAGAGTAAAATCTCAGATACAACAAAGTCTTTAAATAGGTTTGGCATTTTAACTACTACTAAAAACAAAGCTTTTTGACCAATCTGCAGGGAGCCTACCTCGATGGTCACCTGAAATATAGATGTCACTGGAAGCACCATTTTTAATTTTGTAAGTAATTATCTTACCTGTGGCTCCGTCAAACCTTGTTTAGGTGCTACCTCCCACTCTGGTCCGATTTCTGGTTCATTAAGACCTGGAACAGGAGGCTGGGGGCCCCGAGATGATCTTACGGACGCACCTGAGCGCACTACTTGTGCAGCTTCCCCTGAGAGCGCGGGTTTGACCTCCGTCTCCTGGGACGCACGGTTTTCCCATGAGTCCTCCTGCCCAGCACTGCCAGGGGCCAGCGCAAAGATGTCCACTTCAAGGTGCACAGATATTTCAGAGCTCACTGTTGGGGCAGAGCCGTCTGCCTCCACATGTACTGAGGAGTCATGTTTTGCACTCTCCAGCTGCACAAAGTTTGCAGAGCCCACAGATTTTTCAGACACGTGTGAGGCTGTCTTGCCTACTACAAGTATGGGACTAAGGGGTGGTGACTGCTCATTTCCTTTAAGACAAGCAACATGATCAGAAAAGGGGATAACTGTTTTTTCCAGTATTTGCTCAACATTAGTAACTCCTTCGATCACAGGCTCATCTTTATAGATAGATGCTATGTGCGTGGAGGATGTCACCTCAATAGCAGCCTGCAAAGGGACCTGAGGAGCTTGATTGTAAGCAGGAGGTTCTTGTTCATCCTGCAAGGGGAATGAGGAAGCCATTGGTGGTTCCGCCTTATGGTCTTTAGGTTTAGAACCCAAATCTACATGGACAGATGTCTCGCTCAGAACCTGCACTGCTGCCATCTCTCCAGAATGCACAGGAGTGGCCACCACATCATCTTCAGCAGCCTCTGAGCTCAGCATCTCCTCGGGAAAAACGGGCATACTTGTTGCCACGTCCACCATTAAAATTTCAGAGTGATCCGAATGAACCGAGGAAACATTACCTAACATCTGAGCAGCAAACTGAGCTGGGTCAGCAGGGACATAGGCCAGCTCGGGTGAGGCGGCTGCTGGCGACGGCGGTGAGGGCGGGGTGGCATTCTCAGGGGCGGTCGGTTTCAAAGGAGCACGAGGTACGTCAGGCGCGTCCTCAGGCTCTGAGAGCAGCTCAGCATGAACTGACGGGAACTGCGTGGTTTTGTTGCTAAACTGCGGTGCAGTTATGTTGTCCTCCTCTGTGTCCGTAGATTTTTCCATCCATTTAGGTTCTTGGGAAACTGTAGATGTTCTTTCTGGCTCTCTCACACATTCTGGTTTCTTCTCTTGTGCCATTCCTTCTGACCACTTCTCCACTAAAAAATGAGAGTTAGATGGGTTAATAAGTACTTATTCCCCAAAAAAGGAATTATGAAGAAAAGCATAGGTTGAGCATTCAAATGTCAACATATACGCACGTACAACAGGGTTTTGCTTTAGTTTCCAACATCTGTAACTTCACTGTGGGCAACAAAACCTTCCTGTCCATATCCACTCAAAAGACAACTCAGTTCAGTTCCTTAGAAATAAGTGACTCTAACGCTCAGATACCACCTTCAGCTGGTCAGCGTCAGGGGAAAGATCATAACTGCCTAAAAATAAGCTGAAAACATCCATGGGAAAAGCTCCTGATCCAGACTTCCACACAAAACTGGGGAAAGAAGAAAACACTTCATAACTTAGTAATGAAACAAATGCTGTCACATGATTAATGGCATTCTTCAGTTTAAGAAAATTGGTGTATAAAGTTCAACTTAATGAATTGGAAAACTAGGGGACTACAGAATATTTTTACATTAGGAAACATCATGTTTTCTATTCTAAAAATGGTAGCACCTGCTGGTAAGGTGTGATAATGCAGCCGAAGTACTGACCCAGACGAGCAGCAGATAGACAGCTCTGGTTCCAGAAGTAGGGCTCAGTGAATCCTCAGGCAGGAGGAAAATAACCATGGCTTAGAAGGTCAAGACAACTGATGACATACAGAAACCCCTAGAGCTAGAAAACTGCTGTAACATCATCTTCTGGACTCAGCGTTCTGCTTGTCACTCACACGTCTGTCTAACCTCATCAGACGTTTTCACATCTGCTTACTTTACTGAGGATTCTCTCTTTGGGGAAGCATTTACCTAATATCATGAAACCTGCAGGAAAAGGAGAATTTGCCTTACAAGAACATACTTGCTTCAAGTCAAAACTTTGGACCCATGTCTTCATGGGTCCAGCTCTTTTCCAAAGAACAGTGTCCTCCAGGGTCTCCTACATTAGCAGCTGATTTTTTGTAAACTCGAATCAGGTGTCTAATTCTGGACATGGATACCACACAAACGCTCACATGCTAAGAAAAGTTTCAAAAAGACAGAAAAGCCACATCTACTCTTACCTCCCTCTGCTTCTGGAACAATGACCTCATTTTCTAACCAGCGACCTCCTCAGGACTTCCCCACCCATTTCCAGTCAAAGCCCTTTACCCACTAATACACTTGACTGTTTGTGCTGTGTGTAAAATACTGTACACTAGGCATTGTTGAGGATGGAGAGATTATTAGGACAAGACCTCATAAAGCTTAGGGGAAATAAGATATACAGATATTACAGGTTAAAAGCGTTAAGTATTTAACAAGGGTACCATTTAAGACCTATGGAAGCTCAGAGGAGGAAAAGATATCCTCTGGCTGGAGGAATAAGGGAAATTTCATTGAAATAATCCTGGCCTTATGCTTAAGATAAAGCTGCACAAACTGTCATGCCCATCACAATGAGGAAAAGCCAGATAAATCTCAAAACGATAAGTATGAGCCCATCAGAGAGCAGAGTCACAAGGCAGTCAAGTAATCTGATTTCCAAAGGGTAACCAGCCCTTCCAAGGAGAGAAGGGCCACAGAACTCTCTCATCTGTGGCAGGGCCTGGAAACGTCACCACCATACCAGCTAGTAAGGTATCAGCTAAAATCTTAATGAACTGATGAAAGCCAAATGTGGGCTAAGATGTCTGTCTGGAATAGTCTGGGACTCCAGACACAAGAAGTTCACACTCACAGGCACTTTTGTGAAAGATGGAAGCAGGGTAGAAGGCCAGAGAGGAATCCTATGTCAACAGAAAACAGAGGGCTCCTTCCCACCACTGGGGCAGAGGCAGGAAACACTAGCTCAAGACTGACCACAGATACGAGGCAGAGGTTGCCGCGGACAAGTGACAGGAACACTGAGAAAGCCCCATCCTCAATGCCTGGTGCAAAGACCACCTAGGTCAGAGGATCCCTGCCCCGAGAGCCCAGGACCAGCAACGAGGAACAGCAGCTGCCCCTGGAGGGAGGGGCAAGAGTGTGGGGAGAGATGCCCTCAGTGGGGCCGGCTGGCGGGGAAGGCCAAGGGCAAGGTCAGGCAGCCACCGCTAAAGGAATTTGAGGCCCGTGGAACAGTGACGGTAGGAGAGCCACCACGAAGCCCAAGCCCAGCTTCTCACTAGACTCACGTAGACACCTACACACCAGTTCAAGGCCTCTACAACACTCTTTTTCCCCCACAAGGACCTAAATTCCCCAAGTAATGATTTATTTCCCCTGAGAGTTTTCAAGAACCCAACCAATTTAGGGACTAGATCACTGCAACCCCTAGACTGCCTGCATGGGACCCATCTGATACGTCACTTACACGATAGGAATTCAGCTTCTTTGGAAAGGTCCACTTGCCCTTTTCAAAGTACTCACAGGCTTGTCATACCTGAAATCGTACCTAGGAGCTTCACCTTTACGTTTGATAGCTTTGCCTCTAGTCCCCTATTAAATAACCATTCTGGAAAGGTAAAGCATTATATAATTATGAATCAGAACCCATCAGAGAATTTGTGATATTGCTTCCTTCCCCACAACTTTCTCATAGTAAAAAGGTGTATGAGAAGATCTGGGTTCAGTCCTGACCGTGATTGAACAGATGCATGGCCAAGTCAACGGTTCTGAGCTTCAACCCCCTGGTGTGCAAAATGGGGATTTTAATTCTGACCTCACTGAGGTTTTGTAGAGATTAAATGGAGTCATTCACCTAAAAGTGTTCTATAAACTGTAAATCACATATAAATGGGGAAAGAATAAATCAACACCTAGTTTAAAAAGTTTTGAAATGTAATATCAAATTAAAAATTATAAGCCTCACATCTTTAAATCAGCTTTGATTAAAATTAAATTGGCAATTTCATAATCTGGATGATAAAATGCAGGGTGTTTTTTCCCATTTATAATATATGTATTTGTATATATACATACATATATGTCATATATACTATTTTTAATAGATATATTTCATCACTAACATTAAATTGAGATCAAATACCTTAAGCTTTAACTGCTTTTGAAGATGTAAAGCACGAGATGAACCATTTGGTTTTGTTTAGAATACATGACAATGTTAGCAAACATACACAAACAAGTTATCACATAATTATATTACGTTCCTGTTGATATCTATTATTACAAAAGGTAAAGAGCTTTTCTCTAATGTTTTAAGGTCTGTTTAACAGTTCCACAGATTGCTGACTTGTAACATTGAGATTATGTTTGTGTAGAAAACTATTTCTTAAAGTTGTAAACTAGGTTTGCTATAGGTTGATCTTACATGTCAGCCTCATGAAGATGAACTCAGTATGACGTCAGTAATCTGGTTTTACTTGAACTACACAAAACAAAAACAAAAAACTGCATGAACTCTCAGACTTACATACATCACTGAAGGCACTTCTTCCTCTAAAACATTTCTAAGTTTAATAAATGACTGATTAAAACTCACTGTAGAATCCTGATTTTCCATGAAACCAATCAGATAGATACATTCCAAGCATACAGTATTTCTTGGAATAGGCAGAACTCACGTGGAGACTTGGGGTGCTTGGGGCATGATCAGGGAAGAATAAGGAAAAAGGCATGTTCTGGCACTGACGGGAAATCTGAAAGCTGTCCCAGACAAGAGGAGAATATGAAGCAGGACATAATAGGAGATGAGAGAAGTGATTAATAGGAGAGGGGAGAGAGGACTGCAGGAGGGGAACTCACAGGAGTGCTCGGACTCAAGAATTTGAAGTAAGTAAGGTACATATAGTTTTAAAAGTTTAAAAGAGAAGATTCCAACTACTGTGTGTTGAACTGATAGGAATGATGAACACCAGTGACTATAAAGTAGGTGGTCTGTTTCTTTTCTCTCCTTCCTCTCTTCTTTCTTATATTCATTCTTCAGTCACCAATCCTTAATTCCTATTATGTGATAGACACTGGGGAATCAAGAATGAATAAGATCTCCTAAATAGTACAGTCTGATTAAGGTTAGAGGCACATAAACAGATGACAATGTGATCAGTGCAGTGACTGAAATATGTATTGGATACTAGTGGCTTTTAGGTAATTTTTGTTAAGCTTAACAAAAAGGGGCCCCGCACAACTGGCCCATCCAAAGAGCCAAAGAGCCCCTGCAGAGTACAGGTGTAAACCAGCCCTGTGCATTCTGATTTCCCTTATCAGAAAATTTATCAGTCTCCCTTGGCCAATGGGACAGAAGTGGAAGTCTGCTAGACTTCTTAGATTTTACTTTTTTAATGAAAGAAAAAAGTATCATTGATGCCACCACTTCCTCCTCCTTCCTTATACATGGATATAATGCCTAGAGCAGTGGCATGAGGCTACAAACAAAATATGACAAGAATGATAAAGCAGAGAACCTAGATAATTGATGCTTTATTATTATAATAGCAGCAGAATGAACAGCACTTCCAGATATCTTGTTTTTCACTGCTAATTGGTTTTCTGTTACTTGCAGCTGAGTACTTTCCTAATATGAGGCATAAGTTAGAAGTTGTAAAGCAGGGACTTCCCTGGTGGTGCAGTAGATAAGACTCCACCTGCCAGTGCAGGGGACACGGGTTCGAACCCTCACTGGGGAAGATCCCACATGCCGCGGAGCAGCTAAGCCCGTGTGCCACAACTACTGAGCCTGTGCTCTAGAGCCTGCAAGCCACAACTACTGAAGCCTGTGTGCCTAGAGCCCTGCTCCGCAACGAGAAGCCATCGCAAGGAGAAGCCTGTGCACTGCAGCAGAGAATAGCCCCTGCTCGCTGCAACTAGAGAAAGCCCACGCACAGCAACGAAGACCCAACACAGCCAAAAGTAAATAAATAACCCTTAAAAAAAAAAAAAAGGGCTTCCCTGGTGGCGCAGTGGTTGAGGGTCTGCCTGCCGATGCAGGGGACACAGGTTCGTGCCCCGGTCCGGGAGGATCCCACATGCCGCCAAGCGGCTGGGCCCATGAGCCATGGCCACTGAGTCTGTGCGTC